GAGCTGAAAATATGAGAATGGGTGACCAACTGGACTGACAGACATGGGTTCTGTCCAGGAGAAGTGCAAGCACCCTCAAACCTGAAAAAACAGCCTTGGTACAGAATATCAGCAAGGAACTCTTGCAAAAGACCGTGATCTGGGTCGAAGTAGTAAACCATGCTAACAAGCAAATTAGAGTGATGAGAGAAATGAAGCTGCCTTTAAAGAAACTTAAGTCTGTGCTTTTCTTCCTTTTTTTTCAGTAATTAATGTAAAATTTGTTTATGTTAAGGTTATACATAATTACAGGAAGTAAACCATTACTTCTAAATTTCAGGCCTCTTACCCCAATCTTCTGATTTGGTTTTAATATTATTCAGATAATTTCACAAAGGTGTTTCCAAAATAAAGAACATCCCTAAGGAAGAGCATTTAGGAGCAGTAAGAGTTGCTTATTATTCCTATTAGATTTGGTATTATGAACAGCTGTATTGTTCAGTTACACCAAACTGCATGTATTTCGACTACAGTGAGTACAGAGACAATAAAGAGGTGGATTACCTAAGTTAATGGAGGGTCCTGTGCTGTGAATTAGGTAACAGACATATGGCTTTTGCAGCATCACTTCTACAGGAATGGCAAGGCTGCCCTTGAAGCAAGCACACTGGGTTATTCACATCCATAGAATCATGGAAACATCTGGGCTGGAAAAGACCTTCAAGATCATCAAGTCCAACCATCAACCTGACTCATCAAGTTCCCACTAAATCACATCTCTTAATGCCCTGATTATGGCTGAGCTGGAAAATGACAGTTTTGATCATCTTAACTCATTAACTTGTCTCTCACAAAATACTTCCTTCCCTATCTAATGATGATATTTGGTATAAACGAGCTTTATGAGGGGAACCTGAAATTCACCAAGTAGAAATTCGATCACAACAGGTTTCCAACAACTGCAGCACTGTTATAATTCTTAAACTAGAACTGTCTCTTCATATTCCTGTCTTTTGAGCTAAGTTATGGATGTAGTAATCCTGAACATTTCAAAGCAAAGAACTTACTTATTATTGCCTGCATTTTAACATGAATAGAAGATTCAGAAATTTCCCATTTGAATGGGAGACAGACTAAAACAACTCCAGACCATGATAAAAAGTTAGTTATCCTCAGAAAAAAGAAATGTGATTGGTGACAGTCACTGTTGTTTCACTAAGGGCAAATCGTTTGTGACAAATTTGGTGGCCTTCTATAGTGGGTTGTATGAATCCTTCTTTGTTTTTTTTTTTTTTTTTTTTTTTTGGCTCAAAGATTGCTTTCTGAGGTATTTCTTGTGATAAGACTCTAGGAGATGAGAGATGGGTGTTGCCATGTGGCAATCAGCATCACTGTGTGGACAATTTTACATTTGAAAGCATTTCTTTGGAGCTGTTTGCCTTTGCAGAAGAGTGCTTAGGACTGTTTACTGGCGGAAGACCTAGCCTGTGACCAAATAACCCCTGTTTGCTATGGGAGACTAGGGGATGATACCATTGTATCTTGTGAAAGCAAGATACAAGTTGGCACTTCCCTGCTCCCTCTTATCTTCTGGCATGGCCAGAAGATAGGCACAAGAGTTTCTGCTGAGATCCCAGAGTCAGAAGCTGCCATTCCAAGGAGAGCTGACTTGACCACTTTGGACTTATAAATAAGTTAGTACTACCATTGAAAAGTTGCCATCATCGCCATGGTCACCATCGTCCTCAACAGAACAATGCCCGATGAATGAAGACTGAACTACAAACCACGCTGGATCCATAGTGGTGACTATCTACTTCTTGCTTCTTATAAAGACTCTTCACTTCTTCTTTCCTATCTTTTCTATCGCTTTCCTTCCCTTCCCCGTTGCCCTAATTCATAATAGAGTCCATCCTCCTTTTCCCCTTCTCCCTGATTAAGATTTGTAATACACTGGTCGGACCAACATTTGAACCGTTGTTTCTTAATCTCATGCCAGCTATACATATATTAAAAAGAACCTCCTCTCCCTCCTATAAATTGGAGCAAGACATGGGTTTACAGCACTGGTAATAAGGGAACAGCAATTAACATCATCAATCTGGACTTGTGCATAGCATTTGACTCTGTTCCACAAGACATCCTTGTCTCTAAATAGAGGAGATGCTGATTTGATGTATGGAACACGTGGTGGAATTGGCTGGATGGCTGCATTCAAAGAGTTGTGGTCAATGGCTTAAAGTCCAGGTGAAGATGAGTAAGGTGTCTCTCAGGGGTTGTTATTAGGACAGGCACTGTTTAGCATCTTTGTTGGTGATGTGGACAGGGGATTAAGTGTGCTCTGAGGAAGTCTGTGAACTACACAAAACTACGTGGTACAGCCAACACACCGGAGGGAAGGGGTGACATTGAGAGGGACCTGGATAGATAGACTTCATAAGTGGGCCTATGTGATCCTCAGGAAATTCATCAAGGTGAAGTGCAAGATCCTGCAGCTGGTTCAGGGAAATCCCAAGCACAAATGCAGTTTGGGCAATGGATGGGTTAAGAGCAGACCTGACAAAGTCTTGGGGGTATTAGTGGACTAGAAACTCAACATGAACCAGCAGAGTAAACTTGCAGCCCAGAAAGTCCACCATATCCTGGTCTACAGCAAAATAAGCAGGTAAGGGAGGTGGCGAGTCTCCTGCTCTATAGTCCTCAGTACAAGATGTTGAGCAGTTGGAGAGGGTCCTGAGGAGGGCCACAGAGATAATCAGGGGGCTGGAGCACTTCTCCTATGAGGAAAGGATGAGAGAGTTGAGATGGCTCTAAGCAGATGTCATTGTGATCTTCCAGCATTGCGGCCTACAAAAAAGGGACTTTATGTAAGAGCACATGGTCACAAGAGGTAATAGCTTTAAACTGAAGGAGAATAGATTCAGATTAGATATAAGGAAGAAGTTCTTCACAATGAGAGTGGTGAGGCACTAGCACAGGCTGCCCAACTAAGCTGTGGATGCCCCATAGGCATTCAAAGTTTGGTTGAATTGGGTCTGGGATAGTATGATCTGATAGGTGGCAGCCTTGCCCACAAGAGGGCAGGAAGTAAGTGATCCTTAAGGCCTCTTCCAACCCAAACCATTCTATGATCATACAATATCTGGGGTTCATTCAAAAGTGCTGTAAAAAAAAAAGTGCCCATAAGCAGCAAGCAGCATTTATGCATATAATGTAATCGCCTCTCCGCAACCATTATCACAGCAGGTTCTCTGATGTGTCTATCAGCACACAAGCATTTAAGAAGAAGAATGGTTGACAACAATGGCATTTAGGTAAGATTCTCCCAAAATTACTACAAGATGGAACAGAGATGTTCAAGTTATTCAAATACTACATATTTCAACAATCATTTTTAAAAGAATTCAGTAGCTTATACTCAATTTTATTGGCTTTCTAGAGAAAATTTTAGAAGATAAACCAAATAAGGCATGCAGAGAAAATTCAAAAGGGATATAAAGCTAACACTGTGAAATAGCACATTGGTATGACAGCCACTTTAGTGAAATCCAGAAACCTATGTCTTACATTAAGCTTGTTTTAGGATACTGTGGAATTGCTATTGGGATCAACTCTTGTAATATTTAATGGCTGAGGGAAAAGGGTGTAGAGATAAGTTTGCTTCCACATGTTTTTTCTAACAAATGTTTTCTGACTAAATTCTGTGAAAGCAGCATGACAATAAAATTGTAGTCAGTGTGCTAAAGGTTATAATACAATGCTCTGGAGTTTAAAGAAAAAAACAGAGCTAACAGAACAACAATGAGCAGACAAATTTAAATGACAGGCATGTCTTTCTTACAGAATTCTTTACCTCGTCTTGAAGTATCTGAGTCGTCTGTACTCACGGACTAAATTCAGAAAAATCACCTCGCAGTGTAAGTAAGTTAATGACCAGTTTAAATGGTGAGAAAACAAGTGATTTTAATGCCTACTGTTTCTTTTGTTTGTCTGTTTATTTGTTTTTCCTTTTCAAAACAAGAATTCTTTTGGAAAAAAAAATATATATAAATATTTCTTAACAACGTTCTTATTAAGCAGATAAGAAAGTATGCCTGCTAAAGGATTTGCAGAGAACTGACAAGTGGTCACAGGAGTCCAAGTTCAATTTGCAGGTTCAGGTAGGTTCAAACTTAGCAAGACTTAGAACAGAACAGAATTTAAGAATTAAGTCTGCAACTCCTTTCCATCTGTATTTAATTAAAAATCCATCGTTGCCCACAGGAGAAATAATGCACCACAGGATATTTCTGCAGTGCCTCTACACAATCTTGGTTTCTTGGTATCACTGACAGGGCTAAAACTGGCTGTGATAAAACTGCCTCTCTCTTACTTGTTGAAAACATTTTCATCTGCTTCCTCCCTGTAAAACAAAATCTTCCTCCACTCCAGAAGCTTCTCTAAAAAACTTTCTGTAAATCCCAAGATCTACAGTTATTCAGATGTTAAATACACGAGGCAACTGCTTCTTCCTTGCTGTGTATGTGTAAACTTGGAGAAAAGACAGTAATCATATTGCTAAATTGCTTAGCAACTGTAGGTAAAAAAGCTAATATGTCATAATTTATATGTGGAAAGATTGCAGGGGGATAGCACCACATGTCTAGCAATATTGAGGCTTCCTACTGAGAACTCCACCACAAACTGGCAGCTGGCTCAAAGCTCTGCTATTTTCAACAGTTCAAAAAATGTAAATGTGTCAGCAACTGGTCAAATAGCCTTCATATTGTGATTTATTGCAATCTTTCACATTAGCCTACTACTGACTTGTATAAATCACTCTCAGGCTGAAAACATCCCTTGTGCGCAGCTTTATAATGAATTTATGTGCTGAATCAATCTTGCTACTGTCAGACTGATCTTGACGCATCTTTGAGCAGTCTCAATTAGACAAAGATAATTTCAGTGCACCAGGTTTCTTCCAGTGCATGCTGAAATGACAAAGAAGACAAATGCCTGTGAAATTTTATGTGGAAGTTTACCTGCAGCCACTGGGACTGGTCATTGTGGCCAGAGGTCCAGGCATTAACTTTGCCTTGCTTGTCCAGTCGGGCTTTTCTGGGCTCCCAAGCGAACATATCCATGTTGAGCGTTCGGAAAACACTGGAGGCAGTAATTTGATAGTCCTGTATATGCCCTGATTTCATCCCCAGGGGTTCAGAGCAACCTGGAAGAACAAAATAAGATTTGTGACACAGGCTACTTATCTCTGTAAGTGGTTTTGGTTTTCCCTTATGGAAAAGAAAACTAGCAATTCTCAAAGAAAGGACTTTAATCAAGAGTATTGTTGGGGAGAAACTACAAACAAACAAATGAAAAATAGCCAATTCAAGGCACTTTGTTTCAATACTCAGAAGAATTGAAAACAAGATACAGAATTCAAAGTATTTTAGTCCCACACAAATGCACGAACAGAAACCCACAGAAAAGATGACTCTTGTCTCTTATCTTGGTTTTCTTTTTCTGTCCAGGAATTTGCTATAATTTCCTCTATTCACTTCATTCTTACCACGTTTTTATTCCTTGTGACATCAAGCACGTGGTTGTGTACTGAGGAAACATTATGTGTTTTTTTTTTTAATAACATTACTGAAGTTTAAATGTTAACAAGCACAGAGTTCTGCACTTTCAAATTACTTGATACTCAGCCAAAAATAAAAAATCCCCCACACATACTGGCAGAGTAGAAGACTACAGAATAATGACTGTGAAGGAGAGTGAATATTAGTAGAGAATTATGTAGGAGAAATAGAGTTACAGGCTCATTTTGCTTAAACCAGGTGGTTGTCCCACTTTGCTGAGTTATTTTGACTGTTGCTAAAGATAGATCTTGAGTTTCTCTTTCTCCTTGCTGGGTGTTCATGGAAATAAAATAAAACTCAACCCAAACCAACAGAAGAAAAACAACCCAAGACAACAACAACAATAAAAACAATAAAAATTTAACAAATGACTCTATATTCTTCTGTACTGCTAGGCTGAGAATATACAAAGTGCATTTAGATCCATAAGAAGGAAGAGGGAAACTGAGAACAGGTAAGACAATCCAAAATGGCACCACTGTAACAGCAGTACTGAAAGTCAGATAAGTAGGTGAGATGCCTGGTTTAAGACATAAAAGGAAAAGAAAGGAAAGTCAGGTGGCCAAGAACAAGAAAGGTCTCCATAAAGCTTCAGAAAGGTGGATGTATGGCTGGGTGGAGCTGGGAACATAAAAAGAGGCAGTTTTCTCATTTATTTCCTGCTCCAGCTATCAAAAATCTGCAGAAGTTTTAATTCCACAATTTCAGTGATTCTCCTCAGTTCAGTAGCTACTTACCTCAGTTACATTTTAAATAACATTTTAATGTCCTCTAACCTGATGGGTCAGAATGTGTCCCATACCTAGCAAGCCTCACTGGAGCTGATGCGAGAAGTGCATCTCCCTGTGATGATTGTGAAGGACAGGATCTTGAATTTATGTATCACTGTGAAGACAGAGGTTTATCACCTGGTGCTTGGACCCTGAGCTGATTCCTTACAGGTAATCATTTCCTGAGTTACCACCACCTGTGCTGCTTACAGCACACTGGCAAGCTGTGAAGGCCCCCTTGCTGTGACATGACCCAGCTCAGCTGGTGTCTTCTGACAGAACCAGAGTGGTATGACCACTTACAACACCCTCAAAATTGTCATTTTGTTTTTCACTTTATTTGAGCTAGATATAAATGCTGGCTTTCTCTTTCTTAAAAGTTCATTTCCTCCACAATGTGTTCACCTTCATTTGAAAGATGTGACTCTTTGGTTTCTTCGATACTCCTAGCAAAGACCTTTTGGTCAGATTCTACTTTCAGTTTCTCCAATTGGTTTAACCACAGAATTGGATGGATTCATCAAGGATTCAAATCAGAGTAGCTAAGTCCAAGCCCTCCAATGGGGTCAAACAGCAGGAGCAAATTATCAGAGACAAGTAATGATACCATGTTCTTTAACAATAAGTGTATTTTAACTTTGAACTACGGGCATGTTTCATATTGAATAAAAAAAAACAAAAAAAAAAACAAAAAAATCCCAGAAACCAGAGTTCATTTTTGAATAAACTTTTTAGAATTGATTCACAGTGCAAAAACAGAAAATGTGTAGCCTTGCCTGTTGGGAGAACTGCCAAGTTAAAAACAACAAAATAATTTTCCTGGGAGTAGAAGGGAGGAAATGATAGTGCAAATAATGGAGACTCATCTGTTGCTCTAGAAAAGGATTTGGCTTATTATTCAGCTCTGAAGTCTCACTACAAGATCACAAGGACTTTCAGCAGGAATGTTTCATCTGAGAAATATGAAGGGAGCTCCAGGCACAAAAACAAGGGTTGTCAAAACTGTTTTTCAGTGTTGGTCCAATCAATCAAAAATACTTTTAAGTGTTATTATTGATTTATGAAACAACAGATGTCTCTGCTTATGTCTGTGCACGCACGCATGCCTTAATGGCATTTCACACTTGCCTTCTTTCTCTACTGCCCCAAAAGGATAACAAAGGGGGAGAAGGAAAACAGCTGTTATGAGTCAGAGGAAGAGCAAAGTGAAGCAAAAGATATAAGCATGTTGCACATAGGTGGCAGAACGATGTGATAGCCTTGTGCCAGAGAGACCACAGTCACCTTGCAGTTCCTGTGGCACCCTGCATGAAAGGTAATGACTGAGTTTTTTGATAGTTGATGTGCTCTTTCTCTCAGAGCACAAACAACAGAAACATTGAACTGATATAAAACTTTTATGTCCATAGATAACACTCCTTCATAGGAGTTTATCTGTAATAATGCTCATAACTCCTTGGGACACCTTCACTATGCTGCACGTTCTTTAAATTTACTTCATATTGTCCTTGAGAAAGAATTAAACTCTCCTCCATTTTTACAACCTGTTAATGAGAGCTCATGTAGACACACTTGTGGCAAAGCTCAGAGGAGCATCTTAGAGTGAGACATTTCAGATGCTTTGGATATCACCACCTGTGAAAAATGGTAACTGAATTTAGGGAATTTAGAAATTTTTCTTCCTATTAATAAACATAGGATTCCTCTCTAGATTATACACTACTGAAGATGAACAAGGGGAGTGACATCTAGTATTAAACAAGGATGTTATAAAGAGCTTTTATATGAGAGTTTGTGTGTATGGTACATATAGATACTGTTAACATGGAAAAATAGTTGCCAGAAAACAACCAGCCAAAAAGGAAAAATAAATGCACACTTACATGTGCAAGTTTCCCAAGGACTGTTAAATTCTGGGGATCAACATTCCTCTGCAAATACTGATAGCTCAGAAAACCAAGGATTTGCCAAATTTGTCCATGGCTACCAAAACACACTAGCATTAACCATATATGACATAAACCACGTGCAAGAAGGCAACTGTCTGCCAAATGCAGATGTGTGAACATAAGAGTAAATTGCATGAGAGAGTGACTTTGTTTTGTGAAGTCATCCTTTGCTGAATAACTACACTTTGTTCCTACTGCTAGTAATTAATTAATTAAGGCATTACAATAAGCAGTAGTTGTAATCTGTGTCTCCTCAGAAATGAATATCCTATGGTGGAAAGGGAATTTACAATACAGAAATGTGCAAGGCATGGGGAAAGCAGGAACACAAGGCTATGAAAATTGATGTCTCATTTATTGATAATCCACTACATAACCACTGATCACAGTTTTCAACAAGCTGTGACCTTGGGTCCTTCTGAGTATATAGATCTATAGCAGATTATAAAGAACTTTGTGGTTGGACTTGATGATCTTAGAGGTCTTTCCCAACCTCGATGACTCTAATGATTGTAATAAAGTTTGGCTGAAAAAAGATTAGTTTTTAGGATGATCTGGTGTTGCAACATAGTCTCAGTCACTTTGTCAGTGATTCTTTTCCTCGCAGCAGCACTTTTCAGGGAAGCATGTTCTTCTGCTTAAGATAGACCACTTGTAATTAGAGTGAATTAGTCTCCCTTTATGTACACTCTTCTTTCATTAAGATTGAAACTGTTCAGCTGAGCCTTGGCTGCCCCTGGTTCTAAGAAATGATGACCTTGAAAGTGTTAGGAGACCACTGAAATGAAAGCACTTCAGTAGCTTTCACAGTTCTTTGAGCAAAACAATTCCTGGTCACTCTGGCAAGGACTTGCTCTAAATTGCGATTCCAGAAATGGAAGACATAAAAAAAAATAAAAATAAAAATCTAATAGACTAAAGCAGCTAGACAGAATTTTCTATTTACTCTCAAACCTATCTATATTGGAAAAGGGCTACACTGAGATTAATGCATTAACTTTTCATTTCTGAATCTGGTTTTGATGCCACTAGAGGACTGAGAATTATTTAACTCCAGCTGTTTTGATATATCATTCGTGAATTGGATGACTATTGTTTGTACAGTAAGCAGGCAGCCATATAAAAATCATTCTAAAATGAATTCAGTGGAGCGCTCCCACTGGTAAAAGGTTGATCTCTTGAAAAAGATAAAAAATTTACATGCTTTACTGAATTTGTAAGGGAATACGGTTCTTGAAGAGAGTAGCTGGAGGTCAGGCTTTACATTTTTGAGTTATAACTTCTGCTACTACAAACCTTAAGAAGGTTTATATTGGCTCCACTTACTCTTTTACTTTCTGCTATAAGAAACAATCCCTGCTTCTGCTGGAAACCCACAAAATAAATTTAAACTGAAATCTTGTCCAAAGCAGCCCAGCAAAATAAGCCTGTCTCCAGTCTGAGTGGTGTTTGGCTGCAGCTGAATCACACTGATACCTCTGAGGCTGGCATGTACCTGACCCTCATGAGAAATGACTCAAGTCAGCTTTGGTGCCAGAAAGATTTACAAAGTAGCTGCCCTACTACTATTACTGTCCTACGGCAACAGAATATTGTCACTTATATTATTTAAATCAGTATCGTTGTGACATGATTTTCGTAGAATGCTTGCTTAAAGTCCAGTGAGACCTCACTGAGCCGTACCAGTACCTAAAGAGGCCTATAGGAAAGACAGGAAGGGACTCTTTATCAGAGAGTCTAGTGATAAGGCAAGGAAAAATGGTTCTAAACTGAAAGATCATAGTCTTAGATTGAAAATAAGGAAGAAATTTTTTGTTCAGATGCAGTGAGGTCCTGGCACAGCTGCCCAGAGAGCTGTGGGTGCCCCATCCCTGGAGGCACTCGAGGTCAGATTGGATGGGCTGCCCAAGCTGGGGTGCGCAACCTGCCCGCTGCAAACAATTGGAACAGAGGGGGCTTTAAAATCCCTTCCAGCTGAAGCCATTCTGTGATTATATGATTCTTGTTCCCTTCAGGAAACCCACCTGATAACTCACAGCCCAGAAGTTCCATTCTCAATGTGCAGTGTCGTCGGCAAACCTGAGGATACAGGCGTATGTACTGTGATTTTATTGGAGGCGTGAAGGAGTTAGCATATGGGGTATTGTTGTCCACATTTCCACGGAACACCTATAAAAAAATGAAATTGTTTTAAAAACATGCCAAAATTGATACTAAAGGTGTAGTCCATTTCCATGCTTCAGAAATATCCACTCTTCTGACCTCCTTTCCACATTTCACGCAGAGTTTTTCAAAGAGAATGCCCCATTTCCTCCACTGTTCGATGAGGAAATCTTTAAGCAAAACACATTTCCATTGGCTTGCACCAGTGAGTGTTTGCTATCTGCACTGAATCAGGGCCTCTATCTTGTCACTCCTGGGAATCTACTAATCTACTGATCTACTAATGCAATAAATTACATCTTCTTGTCTAATTAGTGCATTAAATAGACCTTATTCAATTTAACCTTTAATTATCTGCACTGATTGACATTTATTATTCACCTCTACCCCAAGAGCCTGGTCTAGTTCCCACTGAAGTGTACTGTAACCCTCCCACTGATCTCAGTGGGCACTGAATTAAACCTATACGCATTCCTCTATTTAGATCTCATTCTAACAGTGTAGACATGCTTTGTTTGTGTTTTGTTTTCTTCCCTCATTGCACACTTTTTTACACAGCAGTTTAATTCCCTTCATGCATAAAAAAACACATGTCCAATTCTGCTAAGTGCTTTCACTCGATTTTAACCTATACAGCAAAGGGAATTTTACTGTTTTGTACGTACAGCTCTCTTTAAAAACTGTAGATGCACACTTCTCACTGGATGACAGTTTGTGTAGCAAGGAGATTAGCACTGATGAATGAGTTCAATGCTTTAAAGGGTTAACACTAATCTGCCAATGTAATAAGACTAAATTGAAAACAAAGTAATGAGTAATTACTGGTAAACTAATTAAAATGAAAATCAGATAAGTGTAATAAACAGGATTTTTCTATCCTTGGGACAGAGCATTTATACGACCATCAATTAAGGTATAAGAAATTCTTAGCAGACAGAAAGTATGAATTTATTGATTTTTTTTCTGGAATAAAATAAGAACACGGCAAGCTATATCAAGCTGTCAAGTAATTAGGCTCATCTGCCAGAGATAACTCAAATTACAGAAGGTGGCTGGACCACAAGGCATATTCATACAGAGATGACTTAATCTTACCATATCCTCATTTGTGCCTTTTACTTTGTACATTGTCCATGACTTCCCATCATTGCTATAAGCAATTTTGTAAGATTTCACATACTCTGGACTTCCAATCCTCTTGGCACCTTGGGTTATAACTCCAGTGACTCGCATCTTCTTCTGTAGGTTTATCTGAAACAGTAAAATGGTACAACTTCACTGCTAGCCTACGGAGGGACACAATTCTGATCCTAGATTGCTTTGATTTCTTCTTTTTTTTTTATATCAGAAAGAAAAAAACATACCTGTAACATCCAAAATGCTATCTTTACATCTGTACTAATTACATCTTTCATCCATTTCATATACATACACAGAAAATAAAACAAAACAAAACAAAGGAACAAAAAGCTGACTCAGTGCATTTCTTACCACTTGGGATGGCAGCCCCAGGGCAGGGGTATGCAGAGTCAAGAGAGGGATCAAGTGTCTGCCAGCCAGACATTTAAATACTTTACAGTGTGATCTCAAGATTTTCTCTCACTTGGAAATGTAATCTAGCAGCTATTAAGGATTATTAAACATCAGTGTTAGAATATCTTATTACATATTATATGGGAAAGTGAGGAAAGGCAGTATTTTACTGCTGTGGTTTTGTGAGGCTCTAGCTGTTTCTCTGCTATGTGACTGAAATAGTTAGGCTTCTAATATTTTTTTTTTTTTAAAGCAAAAATAAATGTCAGTGTTGCTTTATCACATTTCTCACAATAAGTTGTGAATAACCACTCATACATCTGTAAGAGAGAGGAGAAGGTGCCTATAAAAATTAGATTTTTTTCACAGGATCTTTCTCATAGATACCACGAAAAGTCAGGAACATTTGCAGCTATAATGGAGAGAATGAAAGAATTTAGACAGGTATTAATCAGAAGAGATTCGTGTCTGTCTGTCTTGGAAAATCTTCTATGTTACTTGTTTCTCAGATGAAAAAAAACCCACCAACATACGTTTGTAAGAGGACAGTTCCTGAGATTACTGTCATTTCAAAATTTAGTTAGCACAGAGCAGCAGTCAGACACAAAGATTTCTGGAATTCTGTTAAAAAGATTTAACTCTCTGTATAGAATTTAAGATTATTCATAAATAGACAAGATAGAAAAATATGAAATATATTTACAAAATTTATAATAAAAAGAAAATCATCTCCAAAAACAAATTAAAAAGTACAGTCAAACATAAAACAATCATTGATTATTTGCCTTCTATATGTGCTGTCCAGTGATATCTTCAGGAAAAGGAAAATCTCAAGGAAGATAACACAATACCAAATAAGTTTTGTTAGTTTTCTTTGATCTTATGCATATACCTAATGTTTCAGATTCACTCTTTTTTTTTTTTTTTTCTTTTTTTCCCCCAAATGTTAGAATAAGGAAATGTTTTTGGATGAGGATTCACATAGAAAATATTTCTTATGATTTGTTTGTAAGGAAACCATGGCTTTACACACCAGATTAGGATTATTGCTACACTGTCTCCTTTTCATGCCTCAGCCTCCATCTTTAATGTACAACAAATCAAACACTGCATCTCAAGAAGCAAAATAATGAAAAATCCTCCACCAGTGAAAACCACAAATGATTTGTTGAAGAGCTAAATGTTACGGCAAGAATTGAAACTTGGAGAAAAAAGAGCACTACTGAATGAAGGTTTGATGAAATAATAATCAAAATTAAATGAAAATAATTTTTTGATACTCCCTTAATATACATAATATTTCACCTCAGTTCTTTAAGGAAGGAAAAACCCTGCCTTTGTTCTGCTGTACAGCAGGTCCTTCTATACCCATACATGGCATCTGAACATGTAAGTTACACAATCTTACTTCTCTATTTTAACAGTCAGAATCTTTCCTTCTAGAGGCTTTCTCAATCAAGTTCTGAATCATAAATGGAGATCTGGATTTAAACAGCACTGAGCTTGAAATAACTTAGGAAATGAAAACAAGACATGATGGTTTGCAATCAGGTCTGCAGGTTTTGTCAGTGTTTGCAGAAAAATCCTGGTGAAGGGGGAGGAAAAATGCCTTCAAATCCTTGCAGCTTTCTTACATGCAAAACCCTCATGAGGCTAACCTCGTGACGGCAGTAGCTCCTTTCAGTGTACACGGATATAGCAGGATCTAATTGGCCTTTTGTGTCTGAGTTCCTTTATGGGTTTTAAACTTCTCAAGTCAGAGCTTAGTAAAACACAAACTATTATAACTGTTCAATGGCTATAATGAAGCTGGTGCTGAAAATCTTTCTTACTTAATGTACTTCAGCAGGAAGCACAGTTCCCAATGTGCAATGTGAACCGGCATTAAAAGCATTTTCAATGCATTTTTTTTCTATGGCTATTGTGAAGAAAAACAACTCAGGATGCTCTACTTTGTGTACATAAAAGAAATACAGATTAAGGTTTGGAAGTAATATATTCTAATTATATGGCAACTTTGTTTTCAAACAAAGGAGTGAAAATCAACAAGACTAGAACAAGAGTACAACACATCATTTTATGAAAAGGCAGTAACTTATTTGGGCGTAAATCTACCAGGCAAATCAAGGATGATAGAAGATCCCTAATACTTTGCGGGGTTTGCCCCAGTAATTTAAGAATTAATGGATTGCAAAGGCTTTGAAAGTAGAAGATGCTTGCATAAAAATCTGAGGAAAGCGTTGCTTAAGAATCCTGATGCATTCTTCCAACCTGGCTTCCTTCTAACGTTACACTGTGAAGAGAGCAGCCCCATTCATGGTGCTGCAGTCAGCTCCAAGGTACAGAAACTTACACATCACTCACTGTAAAGATTTTGGTTGTGATGTTTCCACAGGAATCCCAGTAAGGAGCGCCCACTGCTGCACTTCCTTCCACACCATCTGACAGAACTTGAGTAAGGTGCCACTTGATACCCACAATTAATCTCCCTGAAACTGCCTTTGTATTTCAGTGCAAAACTTTCCTTTGGCTAGAGTAAATGATGAACACTAAATCAAGCAGGTAAAGCTGCATGTAAAGGAAAGGCCATAAGTCCATTCAAATCTAATTCTAAATGAAAGGGGTGATATCTGCATAATCACAGAATCACAGTAAGACAGAATCATGTGTTGGAAGGGATCCTAAAAGTCCATCTAGTCCAACTGCCCCACAATAAGCAGGGACCTCTACAGCTACATCAGGTTGCTCAGAGCAGGGACTAGCCTGGCCTTCCATGTCTGCAGGGGTGGGGCTTCCACCACTGTTTGGGAAACCTCTTTCAGGTGGCACAAATTCACTATGCTGATACGGAAAGACAGTTGGCATGTACTGCTACAGTAATAGGACAAGAGGGAATAGTTTTAAATTCAGACAGGGGAGGTTTAGGTTAGATTTTAGCATGAAGTTTTTCACATGCAGAGTGGTGACACACTGGAACAGGTTGCCCAAGAGGTTGTGGATGCCCCATCCCTGAAGGCATTCAAGGCCAGGCTGGATGTGGCTCTTGGCAGCCTGGTCTGGTGGTTGGTGACCCTGCACATAGCAGGGGGTTGAAACTAGATGATCACTGAGGTCCTTTTCAACACCGGCTGTTCTATGATTCTATGATATAGCCAAAACCAAGCAAAAAATAAAAAAAAAAATTGCTCAGGCAGTGCTTTCAAGTGTGGCACGTGCTTAAGCTCTGGGGAGTAATTACACTCTATCAGTTTAAAATATTCTCACCAACCCTTAAATTTCATTTAATTTTGTTCTTTTCAATCACCATAATCTTCCCAGAACCATGATTAGACTACTTTTCTCATCGCAGCAGTTTACAGAGCCACTGCCTTTTTCAACAGGAGAGGAAGAAGCATCTTGTCATGTCTTTTGCTCTTGGCACTGATTCTGTAGCAGTAATTTTCACTGGTGTACTAATGTTTTTGATGGCAATGATTCACAGAAATCAGTTTTGGGATGCTATATCATTCAGATGTCTAAACAGTTGAAGATGTAGGCAATCAAAATTGATATGAAATTTAACTGAAAATAAATCCTTGTCAGAAACGAAGAATAAACAAAAAAGACTATTTTTCTCAGGAGAAAGTGTCAATATGAACAAGGCAAGTTTACAGTTCCTACAGATTGCACAGAATAAAGATAGAGCATTATTTTCAAAGACATTTCAGAACCAACCCTGCAAATCTGTAATGCACTTCTGCAGCTTCACTTCTAGGTGTGAGCAAATGGAAGATCGTAAATCTGGAGGAAAACACATCGTATTTATGAGGGAGCTATTCAACCAACTGCCCAAAAGTCCAAAAAGAACTTCCCAGCATGCTTAAAAAACCATAAAACTACAGAAGAAGAGGCAAAAAGTCATTGTCACAGTATGCCAATGTAAGAAAACAGGAGAAATTAGGTATTCCATCAATGGAAATTCATATAATCCTGCAATTTCTGAATAAATAATAATTAGTATGCAGAAGCTATGAACTTGATTAAAAAACAAGAATAAAAAACAGTTGCATCTATCTAATATTCATTATTTTATAGAGAGAGGAGAAGGATAAAAAGATGGGGTGACTTTAGGCGGATACCATATGCAATGCTCTTGGCCACAAACATAGCCATAATCTTCTCATTTACTGCTGCACTATTAACAATAACAGAACAGGTTGGCAAGAAGTACACCTTAACAGCAAGCTTCCAAGAAATGCTGTTTAAAGCCTTTAGAAAGTGCTAGCTCTTTGAAACCTAAAGTGTGGCTTTTCATGAGGCTTTGTTCAAAACAGAAATGCAGTTTACGGAGAACTATGATGTTTACCTAGTTCAGTTATGAGATACAATAGCATTGCTATAAATAATTCTCCATATTCTCATTCTCTGGCATAAAGTATATATTTTTTCACTAAACTTCACTATTACTCATATAAAAATAAGACCGATCAAGGTTATACTGCAAAAATAGGACTGATCAAGGTTATATGCAAAGATTTATTATAGCAACCCTCCCTGATAATTTCATCAGCTTTTGAAGGATTGAAATTTAATTTTTTTTTAAGTCATAATTCTGTTAAAGCCAGATAGAAAGCTCCCACAGAAACATTTTCTGATGAGAAATAGGGAAATTTGCCAATGAAAATGCTTGTAATAAACTCAGGGAAGGAGTAACCTGTCATGATTCCTGCAA